CACTCCGCACTCCCCCCATCATTCACTATGGTAAGATTTTTTGTTTTGATGATGCCTTATACCTGATCCCTTCGACACCTCGTGGTCACATAGGCTGGTGTGCTTCTTCCATGGGGGCTTTGTTGCTTCTGAGCTTGATGGCCGCTTGATTACCTTCAAGCCTTTTTCAATCGCAGGTTTTTTGAGAATTAGATTAGGCTTTTCTCCTGAGGTACCTCTATATGAACTTGAACTTGCAACCTTCCAGACAGTAGTAGCTACCTGTGTTAACCTATTGCCCTATCCAGACACTTGCCTAAATCTGTAGTTGAAGTGGCCTTTCTTTGGCTGCTATAGCACCTCTGTTTTTAGTACTATGTAGAACTTACTTGTCTTTGCTCATCTAGTAATTATGTGACCCCTATCCTGGCACAAAGCCTACAATATAAAAGCTCGTTAGCATGCTTGACAAAATGCAGTCCTTTGACTTAGTCCTAGGTCAACCTGCAAGGATACATTTGCCTCTAGCGCCCCCTACCTTCTTCCAGACCACTCAGCAAGAATTCTTCCCCCGCAATTCACTTGCAGTATTACCAAGGAAAAAAACCCACCCCCAAACCCACCATGGTGGTCGTCTGATGCGTGGTGGCCCTACAGGACCACGTAGAGCTGCTGGAATGGGTTTCCAATTTTTATGAAATCAGGGTACCATGTTTTTTCCCAGAGTGGTTGGTGGGTTCAAACAGCCAATCTTTTCAGTGACCAGCAGTGCTAATGCCAGCAGTGCTGTCCACATTACTAATCAATGACGCCGATTACTAATCACTTCCTAGTGAACATCAAGGATTGGAGTCTCAATGTGGATTACAACTCAATGAAAAATAATCTTTACAACTGGACCAATAGGTATCGTGGCAAATGGATAACAAGTTGTCAAGGAGTTTGTCTTACTTGAATCCACAATCGAATCCTCATGGAAGTAGCCATCAAGAGATCAAGAAAAGTGTCACTTTGAAGTCTAAGGTGTACTTCACTCAAGCCATGGTATTTCTGTATCACTTGCAGAATTGATACATTTGAATTTTGGTGCTGGCAAAGAATACAGCAAGTACTATGGACTGCTAAAAGGGCTAACAGATGTCTTGAAAGAGGTACAGCAAGAAAGTTCCTTATCATGGTGAGAGTTTGTCTTGTGTGTTTCAGACATGATATCAGGAGATCAGTCCCTGGAGGACATCATGCTCAGCAAAGTCAGCCCAAAAGGAGCAAAGTCCTCCATCAGATGAATTACACAATAATACCAACAATGGGTTCAGAAGGCACAAGTGTGAGAATGATGCAGGACTGGGTAGTGTTTATGGGGTTGTGGAGTCAGAACTGACTTGCCAGCATTTAAGAATAGGTGCCCTGGTGGTACAGTGGTTACTTGAGTTGGGCTACAATCCACATGGTCGACAGTTCAGAGCCAGCAGCATCTCCTCAGGACAAAGACTGGGCTTTTCTACTCTCTTATAGTTGTGTCTCAGAAATGCACGCACACGCCCGCATTGTCTTGGTGGCAGTGAGTACGCTAATCAGAACAATCAAGTGGATGTGGGCTCCCTTTTATGTCCTAGCTCGATAGCCTCATCCTGCTTCCGGACCTGGTCTGCCCCGACACGCGCAAAATACGTGAGATGAAGTCTCATTATGGCCAAGGAGCATTTTAGCTTGTCCTTTTAGCATTAGAGACACGGATTAGGTAACAGGTATTTGAGCTAACCTCTGGTACTTAGTTCTCATGAGGAAGGCAAGTGGGGTCCAAGGAGTGAAAGCTACCCTTACAGTGCAGATAAATGTCCAACAGACAATGTCTAGAGGAGTGGGGTCAGGCTTCTAGGGATGAATACAACTTGTTGCTTAGATACCTGCCTTCTATGTGCTGCTCTGACCAGGTTTAAGATCTCAGGCACGGGGTTAGCACTGATGACTCTCTCTGGCTCACCTGTATTGTCTGAGGACATTGCTATTAGCCAGCTGGACTGGCTGGTGGACCCTAGGAAGGGCAGTCCCTTCTGGGAATCCAGAATTGAGAAGACCTCTCCCTGTGGTAGGGACTCTCCCCCCAGTAAAGCTGGAGGCAGCTAGGCCGTTGTTTGGGGCTGGAGAAGCAGAGATGAGATACGAGAGCATCAATGGTTCCCAGATCTGAGTCCACTGACATGGGTCTCTGGGTTCCGAGAACCTCCTCCGGTGTGTCTAAGATAACCCTTCTAGTCGAGTGAGGGTTACAAAACAATCCTGTGTCTCAACTGCGGCTCCCAAAGAGGGAAAGGGGTTTTCCACTCCTGCAGGCACAGCCTCGGAAAGAGCACTTACACTTTCCTCCAGGGTCTCCACGATTCAGTCAACTCACTCGGTGGCATCGAGGTGGGTTTTGGTGGTTCCTGGACTGGGTGTTGATGTGCCAGGGGGCACTTGTATTTTTGGGAGCTTTTAAAATGTTGAATCAGTCATCTGTGTGACACTACACAGGTACTATTACGTTCAAACTTAACACATGATTAGGGTTGTTTGTAGCCTGGGGTGCTGTGAAAAAACCTTACCAAGAAACTAAGGTGTAAACCAAAACCAAACTCACCACGGTCCACCTGGTGAACGGTTCCTGTTGGCTTCCAAGGCTGTGAACCGCCACAGCAGCAGAAAGCCTCCCTTGTCCCTGGTGGGAAAAGCGGGCAGGTTTGAACTGCCAACATTGTGGTTAGCAGCCCACGGAGTAGGATGTAACCCATTACACCATCAGAGTTCCTTCTCTAAGTAGGCAGAGGTACCAGGAACAAAGGAAACATGGGAGTCTCTGTGACGGTCGTTGAGGATTTCTAGCTACTCTACTGAAGAGCTACTGGTAGCTCGTTCTGGTAATTCTCCTTTTCCATTTGGTCAAGTTGCTGCCATGCCTCCAGTATTCTCCTTCTCTGCCCTCCACGGTCTGTGTGGGGTGAAGAACTTGGCTGGCCATTGAGCAGCAGACTGGGCACGTTGAAGAGGCACCCAGGATGACCCTGGTGGCCTCGGTGGACAGGCGGCCAGATGAGGCCTTGGGCCACTGGGGTGGCTCTGGAAGTGGGGTGTTCCTGTTAAGAGGGAATACATGTTGGTGTGTCTGCCAGGCAGGTGGTGAGCAAATGAAACCCCGGGTCCATGCTTCTGGTTATTTCAAGGCAAAAAGCCAGTCTGTGTCAAGTTTTAGCTGCAGCAGATTCAAGGAGACAATTTAAAATATCAGGTAAATACTACGTTGACATATGTTGGGATTGAAGTTGGAGAAATCTCTTAACAAGGCCACTTTCAAAACTGTCATTTAGAAATCAAAAGATTAAAATTTATTTTACAAACAACTTAAGGCTTTATTTTAGCAAAAGCACTGACAAAAAAAAAGCAAACAATAAAAAGCCCAAACTGAAATGACATTTTTAAAGATATCCAAGGCAAAGCATCTATTTTTTTATGAATTCACTTTTAAAGAAAGCCTCTGTGGGGACAGCCAGAGGCCAGGCCTACTCCACTTTCAGGTCTTTGCCCACCAGCATGGCCGTCACGGGATGCATGCTGGCTTTGTGCTGCTTATAGGTGCTGATGGCCACATCTCGGGATTTGTCAAAGGCAGCCAGATCCCTTTGAGAGAAAGAACAGTTAACATCTCAGATCAAATGACTGGATGAGGGAGGAAAGGGGGATTTGCCCAACAAGTCACAACAGTACTAACTCAGAGCTATGAGAGATGCATGGGAACACCAGGCCAGAGGGGATACAACCTAGTGCAGAAGGCGGTGGTCTAACCAGGAGGATGACCTGTTTCTTTGAGTTCACTGTGCATGGGACTAGTAACCTACCTCTGTCTTTGGGGCTGGGGGCTGGAATGATAGGTCAAGAAAAATCAAACCACAAATCCAGTGTAAGACAGAAACCAAGTACTCTTACACCTGGGCTGTCCAGCGCACCAGCCACTAGCTGCATGCAGCTATTAAGTTGATATTATGTAAATCAAGTCCGAGCCCCTCCCCTTCATTATACTAGCCACATGCCAAGGGCTCAGCAGCCCTCAATGGCCGGTGGCTACTCGCCTGCTGGGGACAGTGTAGCACACCAAGAAAGTTCTGTTGGGTTTTAGACAGATATGCAGATCCATTAGGCAGCCTGGCCTTGTTCCCTAAGTCACTGTTGGATTTCACTTGGGAAGTCTCCAAGACTGGCTTCATCCTTTATTAGCTTTTTATATAATGCTTCTAAACCAGCTAGGCAAATAGCCTCAACCTGTAAATACTAAGACACATTGGCTCCTATCCTGCATGATATCAATAAGGGTTTACCAAATATAAAAAGTACTTACTAAATGTATTTTACAAAAGCTTCAACAACATCTGTTTAGAGAGTGTCTCTCATGCTTTCCCCATGTAAATTCAAACCACAGCTCTGGACTGGGCTCTTACTTAAACAAGGGCCGCGTAAACTTCATCCTTCCTTGCTCAGTTGCCATGCTCAGAGCCAGAGGGATCGCTTCTTCCCACTTGGACTGGATGCAGAGCCGTAACCACCTGAGGGGGGTGTTGGGGAGTGGGAGGTGGGGGCGGGGCAGGAGGAGAGACAACTATGCTTGAAAAAAGACTTTCACACGGATTAAAAAATCCCTTAAGAATTATACTGTAAGCCGCTTTATAGTATGTTCTTATCCCACGAATCTCAAATCTGTACACACATACATCCACACACAAATTTTACAACTGTAGAGGAAAGGGAAGAAAATATTTTATTTCTGGGAAAAAATACCTAAGTTATAAAATGTTTGGATTATCTAAGTGCTTACGTACCTACTAAGTAGGGTTTCTGAATAAAACTTGGTTTAAGCCCCATACCCTAAGTTTGAAATGATTATATAGACCCATAGCAGAACCAAAGATTTCCATTTCCACGGAGAAGTCCTCTCAGTGAGTTGTGTAGGTAAGTCTGTTTACCACTAGATGCCAAATTCCAAATTTTCATTTTTCAGGCAAGGGAAATTCAGAACAAACTAACAAAAAGGATGGCTACGATCATCTTAATAGACATTACAGCTACCCACTGGTGCCACAATACTAGCTCTACAGATGCAAGTGAGTACGTGACAAGCATTTCCCAATCCACACACGCCTCCCCGTTCTCCACCTTTTGGGCGAGTCTTCTACTTTGTTTTGTCCACAGAGACAAGTTAAAGCGATGTACCTGAATCGTATTTCTGAATTGTTAATGGCATTCAGGTTGTAGACTTCCTGCATTCGCTTTACGTGTCCCAGGGGAAGCGGTGCCTAGAGCAGAACAGACACATGACAATCATCTCATCAGCACCCTTGTTAGGAGAGCTAGAGAGGAAGTCTTGGCCAGGTTAAAAGGCTTCCTCCTTTAGCGTGCAGAAAGAAGTCAGCTAACAAAATGAAAGGAGCAAGCAAATGCGCACCGAAGGACATTCTGTACAAACCTATCCCGGACCAGAGTGCTCTCCTGAGAGCAAAGGGATCGTCTACTCGTGAAGAACTTGCAGCAGCAGGCAGGAGCACGCTGTGCTCACTGCTCTCAGACACGCTGGCCACAGACGCAGGCGCGTTCCGACGCTGCTCTGCAGTCTTCCCACTTCGCCTGCCACTCGGAGCGGTGGGTCATCTCCATTCTCCAGATGGAGTCTTACTTCCTGAACTGCGGCCTCACGGATTCACCCTGCCTTGTCCTTGGGCAGTTTCCTCCACATGCCCTTCTAAAAGACCTACATTCTTAAGTTTTTAAGACTCTTAAGACTCTTGTTACAGAAAGGGCGGGATAGGGCAGGTATTCTTGAAAGGACTTCAGACTTCTGTAATGATTAATCATCCCATAATAATCAAATTCCACCTCAGTTTATATTATGTTTTCATAATCAATGCTAAATGGGGAATATGATTTTAAGGCAACAGGAGCCTGGTTGAAGTAAGAGAGAGTCAATGTTTAGAGAATTAGGTCACCATAGTTTGAGAATCTGGTGTGATTAATAAGGGCTCTTTTTCCTTAGCAAAAATATAGTTATTACACAGACACAAGCTTTTATGTATATTATCAGGGGGTTTGTGAATGTCAGAAAACAAGCAAGGGTGTCGGAAAGATTGAAAAACGAACACCGTTTAAACCAAGTCCGAGTCTGAAGTGATTGTGGTAGAGCGGCCACTACAGATCCCCAGTCATCAAGTGAATTCTGACTCCTAAGGACCTATCGGACGACAGTGGAACGACTCTTCAGAGATTCCGAGACTGTAAATCCTAATGGGAGCAGATGGTGAGTTTGAACCTCTGACCTTATGATTCACAGCCCCATGCTCATCCCGCAGCACCACCAGGGCTCCAAGACGCCACTAGGGCGATGTTGCCGCCCCAGCCGTGAGCGCAGACACAGGAACTCACCATCTGTGCTCTCATTAACTGCTTTCTAATTCATTCAGTCTCTCCACCACTTGGCTGTCAGGACTGTCAAGAGAAGCAACCAATCTGCCTTGGAAGAGAAGTAGGGCCAGAATGTTCCTCAGAGATGCCTTGAGACTCCATCTCCCACACTTTGGACTTGTTGTCAGGGGAGACAGTCCCTGGAGGACTTCATGCTTGGTAAAGTGAGGAGCAGAGAAAAAGAGGAAGCCCTCGGCAGGTGGAGTGCCAGTGGCTCCAGCGATGAGCTCGGATGTAAGAACAGTGGAAGGATGGTGCAGGGTTTCGTTCTGGTGTACGCAGGGTCGCTGTGAGTCGGAACGGACTCCCCGCCATGTTCCTAAACACCAAAATCGCTCCTCCCCGCCACTGCGACCCTGCTGTGGGTTTCTGAAACTGTAACTGCTTACGGGAGCAGAAAGGCCAGTCTTTTTCCAGTGGAACTGCTTGCTGGTGGTTTTGAACTGCTGATCATGCAGGTCGCAGCTCGATGAGTAACCACCACACCACCAAGGCCCTAGAGAATTATTAATCTAATTACTGTTGTTATACATTTACCTACCCTGGATTTCACATACAGAAA